GGGGGGGGGGGGGACACTTATCATGGATTCAAGTCAGAGCAAGAAAAAAATACTGATTGTCCAGGAGCAAGTGTTTTTGATACTTGCCTGAGGGATGTCTATACTACCAAGTCTGTGCCACTATAAGCAATGTCAGCAGAGTCCCATAGCTCAGATGCAGCTTAAGACAACAGTAGTTTGTCAGTCAGCATAGCTATATCATCCCTGAGGTAACAAAAATACCCTTCTAGGTACAAACTGGGGATTTACAGGCATAGCTACATCAGCTCATGGGCATGGATTGTTTCCAAGGGTTGGAAGGGACTTTAAGGATCATCTAGTCCAGGGACAGCCAATTATTTCAGGCGGAGGGCCACTTACCTAGTTTTGGCAGGCTGTCGAGGGCCACATGGGTAGCCCCGCCCCTTGACAGGTGCCCCGCCCCTTGACAGATACCCCACCCCCTGTTCGCCATCTTGGGACCAATGTCCCAATATCGTTGGTCCCATGTTCCAGGGCCAGCACCGGTAGGGCCCAAAGTGGGGCACAGGTTGGCACGGGTCTGTGGAGCTTGGCTGGGCTGCACCAGCAGGGAGAGGGGGGAGCTGGCCTAGCTTCATAGAGCCCCTGCCAGCTGGGACCCCGTGCTCCTGCCACCCTGCTTTAGGTCCCACTGGCACTGGCCCTTGGACACCGGTGCAAGCCCCGTGCTCCTGCTGGCTCCCCACCCACTCACCCTCCAGCCCCATGGTACAGGAGGCGGGCAGCGCACAGCCCCAACACCCTGCTCACTGGCAGGGAAGAAGGTGGTGCTAAGCACAGGGAAAAGTGCCCCTCGCCTACCCCATGGCTGGCGCTCCCTGCTTCAGTCACTTGCAGCCCACGCAGGGCTGTCCTGAGCAGGCACATGCAGCCCCACGTGGGCTGCAAGCAGCTACAGTGCAGGGCACCAGCCACAGGGTGAGTGAGGGGCCACTTTTTCCTGCACTCAGCACCACCTTGTAACCCTCCCCCCTGGCAGCCTGGGCTCTGCACTGGCTCTGGGCTCACCCGTTGGAGCTGCGCATGGTGGCAGCAGCTGCAGCCCCCCCACATGCTGTGCCAGGCAGTGTTGGTGGCTGCTGCTGCCCACCCAGAGCTCACACACTGGGCAGCACACAGGTGGTGGTGGCAAACACCGCCAGGTGTGGCAAGCAGGGGGACCACAGCTTCTGTCACAATGTGCAGCCCCGACAGGTGAGCCCAGAGCCATGCAGGGCCCAGGCTGGCAGTGGGGTTTGGTGACAAGGTAGTGCTGAGCGGGGGGGGGGGAGGGGAAGCAGCCCCCTCGCCCACCCTGTGGCTGGTGCCCCGCACTGTAGCCGCTCACAGTGGCAGGGAAGGACTGCTTTCCTCTGTGCCAGGAAGGAGCAGGGAAGGAGCCCAGGGAAAACCTGAGTGTGGGGGCGGGGTTGGAAGCAGCCCTCCCCCCACCCCATGGCCAGTGCTTCCTGCTGCAGCCACTCACAGCCCATGTGGGGCTGTCCGGAGCAGGCACAGGCAGCTGCAGGTGGGCTGCAAGTGGCTGCAGTGCGGGGTGCCAGGCACAGGCAGGGGAAGGGTCACTTCCCCCCACCCCTGGCGCTCAGCTTTTCCCCAGGCAACTTTTCCCTGTGCTCCTTCCCTGCCCTTCCCCCCACTCGTCCCCCTTACCTGCAGTTCCGGCACAGGGCAGCTGCAAGGTCCCAGGCCAGAAGCCCCCCTGAGGTTTCCAGCTGAGGGGGCTGGAGCTGGGTGGGCCCTGCTGTTGTGGGAACCTGCTGGGGCTTCCCCTGGGTCCTACTGCCCTTGGTTCCTGTCACTTTTGACAGGAACCAAGGGCAGAGAAATATTAATTTTCTAAATTTTTTAGGGGTCCCACAGGCCAGATAGAATGGCCTCATGGGCCAGATCTGGCCCGCGTGCTGTATTTTGCCCACCCCGATCTAGTCCAACTCAATACCCAAATGTAGGCTGAGCTGATTCTAAACAATCCCAAACAGAGACATGTCCATCTTCTCCTTGAAAACCTTCAATGAAATGAGATTCCACAACTTCCAAAGGCAGCTTGTTTTATTGTCCTACTGTTCTTACAGTTGGGAAGTTTTTCCTGAAACTTAATCTAAATCTGCTTTGGTGTTTTCATCCCCCAGGTGATGCAGCAAGGACAACAGAACTTCGCAATGTAGAGTAAACCTGACTTCGCAACTCCTACCTGCTCCCAGTTCAGTTTTACATACAAAGCTAACCTGTTTTCTTCTGGAACATGAAGAGCCATAAACTGCAATGGATCCAAGCACTGTATCATCCAGCCTTGACGTTCACTGACACGAGAGACATCAACCTTGAGGAAGTGATTTGGTACTCTGCTCCACAGCACATGGGTCAGAAACTGGACATGGAGACGTGGGGGACACTGAGGCACTGGGTTTTTGTGTTCACTTTTGAACAAGCCAGCAGACAGTGGCATTACATTCTGGAGGGTTCAAGACAGAGGAGCTAGTCAGTTTTATCACCTCTATAAGACAACAAAGTATATAATAGTACCCAAGACACACATGTTGCAAACAGATGTAAAAAATCAATGTGAAGAAAGGCAACAAACATAGTGCAGCAGGAATGCAGCATTTTAAGGAGCTTTCAAAAGTACTGGGGGCCTTCTAATTAGGTTCCAGACAGTTTCAAAGCCAAATAACTTTTAAAAAAGACCTACAGCATTTCCCCAGGAAGATATTTTAGCCCTTATCCCTTCCCCCACCTACACATTATAGGTATTGCAGAATTAGCTGGTTAATTGCACAAATAACTAAAACCAGCTACACATGCAAGTACCTACCATGCCATAAAAAACTCCAACCAGCTATAAAATCAGACCTTGAAAACAGGTACTAACCTTATAACTGGTTGGTATACAGCTTTAATTTGAATGTGTAGCTGGGTCTCCGCTGCAGCTAAGAGCTGTGTCAGCTGACTGGGCTCCAGCTGCAGGGGTGCTCCATGCCCAGCCCAGGTTGAAAGTCTCACAATGGCCCCTGCTACACTAGTCAAGAGGCAAGCTCCCGCAACTGACGGACAGAGCTGCCGTGAACCCCCTGCACCAGCAATAAGGCACGATGGGTTCTAATGTGCCATTCCATAATCATACCTCCTGCCATGCACATGTGGCATGGCAGGAGGCACAACTGTGTGCATCATACATTAGATCACAATGTGCCTTTACCTGCACGTGTGGAGAGGCCCTTAGGATGTCTAAGCCTTAGTCTTCTTAAGTCACCCCAGCCTTCTTCACCAACTCTGATGCATCATGTTTTCATTCTTCCAACCCATTTTTGCACAATTATGCTTTATACCTGTGGTTTTCAAACTGGAACCCAGGGTTCCATGCCATGTCATCAGGGGTTCCATAACAAGATTGGGCATAACAGTGAAGCAGGCTGGGAGGTAGTGCGCTGCCACTTCCAGGCCAGGTCACCTGGCTCTGCATTAATCTTTAGCATAGGATTAGGGATTTCACAGCAACAGAAGTGAAATAAAAGGGTTCTGTGATGCAAGTTTGAAACCCACAGCTTTGTACAGATGGATAACTGAATCTGGATGCAAGTACAAGGGTGGATACATTTAAAACTTAATGGCAGAATTTGATATTTGTTAGTGTAAATAATATATGTAACCCATATACACGGGACTGATCAGAGGCAAAGTAGAATACAGATAGCCCCAGAAAGGACTTGTCACCACAATTCTGTGCTGTCCCAGAGACAGTATAATTCAGAACTTGCATCTCACTGTCTCAGGCATCCATGGGCACTAGAAGAAGTTAATATGTTGTGCTTTGGGTGCAATCAATAAGAGGCAAGCTACAGATTTGTCTTCTGCAGCAGCAAATCCAGATAACATTGACAATTCTTAATTTCAGGGGGGAAAAACTAGAAAGACTACATTCTGGTCTGGCCCTACAGCCAGGCAAAGGAACAAGGCCCCTGTTCACTTTCTGTAGACACCTATATTTGACATATCTCAAAAGAAAAGACAAGGGATTGAACAGGCACTATATATTCTATACTGTCTGTGACAAGCAATGGAATAAAGTACATGGCCTGGGAGTAAGAAAGCCCACCATTTCTCCATCTGAAGAACGTCTAGTTAAAGTAAATGGCTAGTAGGCAGAAATGGAGTATATAGCACTGTCAGAAATGGTGTATTAAATTTTTCCCAGAAATATAATGGCTGGAGAAGTTTAGAGAAAAAATTGCCCTTCTCTAAGTCACTGTTTGTTTCTGATGCTCTTTTGGCGAGGCACAGATTCATGCTGCGCAAGATTGATTCTACCATTAATGTCCAAAGTTATTAACATTTGGAAATTAATCTAATAGATAGCAAATTTAGTTATATAAATATGTTCATAATAATAATAACTCTAATATGTTCTTTACTCTACAATGACGCAATCTAACCAGGTCTAGGAAATTAAACAATGAATGTTATAAACTGACTAAATGTACAGCTGTGACAGCTAAATGAGAATATTGCCACAATGTGAATAACACTTGGTATATCTGCACAGACTGAAGTGTGTCATTTCATAAGCATTTCAGAAAGGAAGATTACACAATGCCTGTACTCATTTTAGTTGGGGGCTCCTAATAAGTTTATATAATAGATGCTTTGGTTTCAAAGAAGCCATGATACTATTTGCAGAATAAATAGTGCATTTTTTAAGACTGACACTAAGTGATTTATGGTAGTTTAAAGTAGTAACATGGCACTAAAACTGACATACGTAAGAAATAAATACTCCACGTGAGGTTAGGAAATCTTTATCTTCTCAGTTAGAAGACTACAAAAATTGTTTTCTCCCGTGCTACACGACATGCTTTGTTCAATGTAGAAAATTCACTTGCATCAACAAAAATATGGCCAACACCAAGAATGCACTGAATTCAGCAAAACAAGAACAACTGAGGATTATCTAATATAATGTATATTAACTAAACTAACAGAAAAATAAATAATCACCACGTTATTTACCTTTATTCTTCCCAATTCAAACTGGAAAACATTAGGACTTGTAGCTTGTGCAAACACTGCAGGAAATAATTTAGTACTTGGTTCAACCTAAATCACAAACAAACAGAAATATGTAGTAATTTAAGACTGCTTATCCATTATAAATTGACAAACCTAATAATTTCATCACTAGCGCTTAAATATAAGTTGCTGAATGAAATGTTAGAAGATCATACTTGGTCAGCATAGGGGAGGGACAATCACGGTGTCGGTCAGGGGCAATAATGTTTCCTTCCTTTTGTATTAACAAATAAAACTAGTAAAATTCAGTCTAGTGCCTCTTCTCATGGAAAAAGGTAAGAAAAAAAAGTATATACCTGATAGTAGGTACTAAGTTCTTTGCCATTAGCAGTGAAGGTCACCAGACCACTGGCAGCATCAACCAAGCAACCAATCTCCAGTCCATTATTGTTGCGGCCTTGTCCAGGGCTCATGCTCTCTCCTGCGCATACCATATAGCAGTTGCTGCGTTTGATGCTGAATTACAAGAGAAATTTATAGACAGAATGTCAGTTTATACAATAGACTAATGCTGTAGCCTTCCTATTCAAAATAAAATAAATTGCACAACCATCAGTTTATGGCTGAATGTTGTATTGGTCACCATGAGTGAAATCCTAGTCCCACTGAAGACAAATACAAAAAACTACAAGAACTCAATGAGATACAGATTTCATCCTATGGAATTTTAAAGGATTAGAAGAATGGAAGAACTGTTAGGACTAAAAGAAGTATGAGGCCAAATCCTTACAAAAAATCTGATATAGAACTGAAGTTCCAGTAGTTTAACTTATTGTTTCTGAATGGGACGCTAAGTAAAAGTACAACTCCACTGAATCTAATGGAATAATTCAAAGTTTGCACAATTGTTGGATATTTAAATGCACATAAAGTAATTGAATTAAAAAGAAAAAAAAATACCAACCTCTCATGAACCTTTCCCTTTTCATCCCCCAGTGTAACAGTAACAGTGCGAACTCTGTCCAAGTCAAAGGTTGTATCATACTGATGGAAGTCAGATGTAATCCAGCCCACCCAGACATTTGCAGGTTCTTGCCCAGGAAATATTCTCACTGAATAGTAGTACTGTCAATAACCAAACAATATCCCACAGTGTTAATATTTGGTTTCCATGTTATCATTTTGATTCAGAATTAAACTGGTTGCTTTAAAATGTGTTATTTTATTGTTTCACAGCCTTATAGTGTCGAATTATCTTTTATGAATACACGTATCCTTGTTTGAGCTTCATTCAGTAGTAGAGCAACAGAAAAACATCAGTACAAAACCAAGCATATGCCACCAAAATAGTAAGGATAATATAATAGTAAAGTAATTAGTTTCACAAGATATACACATAAGAATTGGGATGTAGGTCCATATCACATTGGGTGAAGGAGTAATACACTTACAGCTGTACTACCATGGCTCCAAATGTTGAAAAGTCAATAAAGTGACCAGTTTTAAGGAGCTGCATTGTGAACCACAAATAAAACTACCATTAATTTAACTAGGATTTCCACGTTTCAGACACCAAATCAGAACAGTGTTGTTACCTACCAGTAGTTGTTATTCTTGAATATCCTGTGTTTAAACAACCTTAGTCAGTTGTTTTATAACAAGGCTATGTGAAAAATTAACACAGAATTGCTTTTGAATTTTGAAATAACAAGTAGTTGGGTAAAAGCAGAATGATACAACATGGGTAATACGGTATTATGGTGGAAATAGGCTCCGAGACAAAAGGGAGTAAAATCAAATGCAAATGCATTCACTTAAACTCCCACTGCCAAAATATACTGTTATTAAAAAAATAATATAGCAAAAATATGGACACTACATTGCCATACCGTAGAAGTCTGCATCAAGTAATCATAATCATCTCTATCATCTGCTAAGACATCCTCAGTGAGCCGTGCAGAATGGCTTGTACTGTAGTCTGGCTTTGTCCTTCTAAGCATAAACCTGAAAAACATCAAGTTACCAAGGACCACGTAAAATCACAAGAGGCTTCTATTTTGAGCAAATTAATAGAAATGCGCAATAATTTTGCATTCATGAATTATGCCTGAATGATTTAGTTGGATTTGGATTATTTATACCACCCCATGGGAGCATGCACACTTTATAGAAGACCCCCAAAAGGAGCAACTGTAAAAGCACCCAAATGATTTAGAAGCTTAAATCCCATTTTCAGAAGACACATGGAGGCCAAAATTTCATTGATTTAATTAACACTCAGGCCCACACATGCTTAAAACCAACCTATGACTTGGTTCTGTAGGTACCTAACATTCTGCTGCTGAAATCCACGTAACTTGGGTGTTTTCCCCAATGAGTGTATTTAAATTTGACCTGGTTAGGTCCTAACAATCTCTGTACAGCCTCTGAAGGGATTTGGGCAAATCTGAAGTGAAACTCAAGTCTGGTTGCCCAGGTTGCCCTATGCAGAGAAGGGAGAAAGTAATTTAGAAAGCTCAGAGGCACCTAGACATAGCAAGCAAAAATTATAAAGATCAGGGTATGTCCAAACTGTTCAGACTCAGGAGTTTAGGTACCTGACTCATGCTGCACCTCAGGTACTTCCATTCAACTATAATTCAAACATGGTAGTGCTGGTTTCCAACTCTTGCTCAACAGTCTAGGGATCAGAAAACCCACCAGCAATATCCCTGGTACCAGGGACCACTAGGTTACAGAGACTGGTGCTTAGGTAGGGTTTTGAGACTTTCCAGGACAAAAAAGAATCACAATAGAACTAGGCAGAAGTTATGTATCTAAGTGATCCACCCAAATTACTTCTAACCCCTTGCAGAAGCCCTTACATAAATGCTTAGGGAATTCCACAGTTCAAAATGAAGACCGTCTAATAATTTTACCTGCCAAACGCATGCTGGCTCTGCTAACCCAGAGCTTATGTGAATAAGTCTTTGGATTTAAACAGCTAAACACCATTTAAGTGTTGCTGAGGCTCTTAAGAAACCAGTTTGAACCTAGCCCCATAACACATTCGAAAATGGACTAAGGTTTCTAAATTACTTTGGTGCTTCTGAAAACTTTATCCATGGTCCCAGTTTACTGCTTAAATATCTAGCATGATACAACAAATAAATGTGACAAACATATGAAAAGGAATAGAAAGAGAAAGGTTTTAGGTAAAGTTTTTAGGTAGTTCCTCAGTTTAGATATTTTATCATGGATTAGGTAAAGATTTTTATTTGACTGAGAACACATGAAAATAAGGGATATGAAAGAATGAATATTCTTGCCACATGTAATGAGGACACTACCAGAGCAGTGACTATAAAAAGTTCACCAAAATTTATCTAAATGTATTTGGTCTTTTCTGAAATTCCTGTGAAAATGGGTTTTTCATTTTACTCTGGACATTTCTTGGTTTTGTCATTCTTGGAAAATCCCTCTGTACTTCTAAAGTGCTTTTATTTAAAGATTTCAAAAACCTTTGCAACCTTGAAGACATATGTTTTTAAAGGATGAAAATGAGGAACAGGAGGTTAAATGATTTGCCTATCTTTGCATCATGACTCAATGACAGAACTGTGAATAAAATTAGGAATAAGCTTTATTAAAAATATGGAGAAGTAAAGTTAAATTAACTGCATTATGACAACTCAGAGTAAATATGTTACTGTACATCACATGCCTTTGTTTAAGGCGTGAAGGTTTCTCTTGAGTGTAATCTTTATGGTTATTGAATTCTGGTTTTGCAGCTTCTTTTTCTCTTTCTACCCGATCAGGCACCAGGTGACCATGAGCAGTCTTCATCAGAACTTCAAAATCAGAATCAGCATCATAATCTTCCAAGTCATTCTTTGGGCCAAAAAGACCAGAGCCTGGTAACCCTCCTGCAGGTGTTTTGGAGAATACTTCTGCACATTCGATAGGCATGCTCAGGCGAAAAAACATAACATCTGTTTTGCTGTTCTGTGAACCAAAGGACTTCTGTGTGACCTTCAGACAGGGGCAGCTGTCTATGGTGCCATCTATTCTCATCACCTATCAAATGAAAAACTCATTTATTTTCATATTAAATGTATTTTCCCTAAATGTTCAAGATTTATTTTTAGAATAATACATACAATGGGGCAGATCCATTAATTCATCTACCTGCATAACAATCTGTCATCCTATCCTTAGGACTGAGTCACAACAGAAAAGTGATGAGGAGGAGAAGGACCAACTTCTGTATTAATAGCTTTTCGGGAACTTGTGCAGAGTGGAATAGAATCCCATGTAAGTGTCTAAATCCACTCTAACCAAAAGGTGGAGTACAATCTGGACCAAGATGTTTTCAGATATAAAATAACTAAAGACTCTTAACAGTATGACAAAGTCAACCTCATTGAAGTCAAAGTTATCATGCACTATATATGTAAAAAACACATAAATACAGTGGCACAAGTAATAGATTTAATTCTTTTAGTATTGATAAACTGGGTACTCAGTCAAGATTGCATCTCAGCCACACTACTTTATAGCATCATTTCAAACCTGCCTATTATATCTAATAACTCACAAATGCAAGGCACAAATCTTACAATTTATCTTTTTCAATATACATTCTGATACATCAGCCAGAACATAGCTATGTTTTCACTAAAATGTGCCTTTTAGCAATCTGATGAAAACTAGATGCAATTTTAATGCATTATGCATTTTTAAAATGTACCTATTTTTGCATGTTTTAATCTAACACATAATGACAACTAATACATTTACATAAACTGAAATGTCCCAATGAACATTTGATTTTGAGTATTTCATTGATTTTGTGCACGCAGGCACAAAAGATTGAAGGGAATTTCAGTTTTAGGTACATATCCAAAATAATCAATACAGACTATGCAGAATTCTGAGTTATTTTTAAATGTGGGATAGAGAGACAGACATTAAATCATATTAAAATTGAAAAGAGATGTTATTAGAAGTTAGAAAAAGCAAGAGCTAAAATTGCATGGGCACCTTAATATGACTCCTTTGTGCAGATGATAGATAATATAAAGTAAAATTTTCAAAAGCATCTAAACCTATTCTACCCTGCTCAAGTCTCTGAAAAAAAAAATTAACACAAAATTTCCATTCACCACTTTTTGTGAATTAGCCTTAAGGAAAAGATGATGGTATGTTACGGAAGCAGTCCTGTTAACATTTTTTTCAGGAACTTAACCAGGGTTGAATAGGACCACATTGAGGTGTAGTAAGGTATCTAACAGATGGAAGAGGAAATAGTCCCTTAGCTTTACTTCCAAGCTTTTGAGAGCTCTGTTTTGCATGCTTCATTCCAATTTAATAGAGTCTAATATATTCACTCTTGTAAAGATCACTCACTCACAAACAGAATTAATGTATGTGTTCTTGTTGAGCTAGATCTCTGACACTTGGCATACTCATTCATTATAGGGTGCTGAGTATGACAAAAAATCCTAAATTTGACTTTACCATGACATCAACAAAAGGTCAACATTTGTTGTTATTGATCTTAACCACTCAAGTGTCCTAACACAAGCATTAGCAGTAGCGATTTAAAACAAAATATATTAATTAATTCTCTAAGGATATCACGTTAGATGTGAAGCTTCTAATGGGAAAAAAATCCAGAAATACTTGAAAAAGAAATTAAAGCAATTACAATATTTTCAACAGTAAATATGATTCATGGACAGGGCACAGTTGCTTGCAAAATTAAAAAGCATTAATATTGAATGTTAAAGCCAAAGACCAAAGCAAAAAAAAACAACTAACTCTCACACTAAATATGACATTTCTACAACGTTTAACCAGTCCTGAGGGAAATTTTTTTAAAGTATTTACAACCCATTTTCTGCAGCATGTTAAGCACTTCAGCTCAATAGTTTCATGGTATTTAGGCATTTTGGGGGGTTTGCAATACTGCAAGTCCTGAGCAACTTAAGTAGAAAAGTCCCATTTTCAAGAGTGACTTATGATTTCTCTAAATGGGAATGTTATCTGACATTTAGTTCAGGTACAGTAACTGCTTCTTCAGCCAGTTGCAGTCTTGCTTCAATCAAATCCTTGCTTCCACACAGTGCTTTTCTGTGAATTAAATATTCTTGGTGGCTGCCCTGTGCCCCTTTATGCCAGTGATGAGCCCTGTGCGTTGTGGCTGCTTGTGGAGGACTCGGTCATTGGATAAGCTTGATTTTTGCAGCCCTGTGTCTGACAGTGGGATGTGCTGCAATCCTGGGACAACCAGCTGAAGGTGCAGAATTTCACAATAACCAGGAATACTTTTCTGGAGCCCTTTGTGGAGCTCATCATAACTTGAGAGCTACACTAGCTGGTCTGAAGCATGCAGGCAACACTGTCTGGAAGCTGGCCACCCCCAATTGCTATTAGTGAAAAATTAGCACATTTGGTATGGACAGATAAACTGTTGAAACTGTTGGGATGGATGCATCAATTGCATTTTCAAAACTGGCTGCAACGTTAGGCAAGGCTCAGGAGGTCATTCATGGCTTTGACATATGATGTTTCCACATGGCATGGGGGCAATTGATGGAAGTTATTATTCTTATTTGTTGCCTGCCAAAACAGGCCTTTGTTCTGTACCAGGCCCATATGCATCACTATTAACAGGTTCAACAACTTGACCAAAGACTATTTAATTCTTTTATTAAAATAAAATGTAATTGCTCACAAGAAAGATGCCTGCAGGATAAGATACCTTCCACATACACATCCTCACAACCTGTATCTGAATGTTAGGAAGAGATTAATTCTGGTTTCTAGGAAAGTTCTCATTGTGAAATCAGGGCTAGTCCTGGAGTTGTCACTGTTCTGATTGCCTTCTGCACTGTCCACAATAAACGGAGGCTTTGGTTGCGCTATTCCAGGACAAAATCCTGTCCAAATCGCCATAACATGGATGGCAATAGTATAGATTTCTGATTTTTTCCCACAGCTTTCTATGAAGCTCCTTTAGCTTCTTCCTCTTTTTCTAGCACTGTGGGTTTCCTAGATGTGATCCTTTTGCTCACCCTTCAGCAACATCTCCATTTACATCCTTATTCTGATGATTTTTGTAAAGGCTTCTTGGACAGAAGGTGGAGATTTCCAGGACCTCCACGGTCAAGGACAGCACATGCAGCAATACAGTAGTATTGTAAAGCTATCATGGAATGATGATTCAAGTGGAAACATCTTAATTCACCAGCAGTTAGGTGGTCACAGGTTAATATAATCCCAGAGCAGCAGAGGGCACTTATACCAGAGAACTGACTGAGGCTGCATGTGCACGTGACATGGTCGTCATGGGTAATTTTAACAATCCAGACATCTCCTGGGAGGATCATTTGGCCAAGTTGGAATGGTTGTGATCCTTCCTGACCTGTGTTGAGGAGCTCCTCCTGACTCAGGAGGTGCATGGGCCAACCAGAGGTGACGCTCTGCTAGACTTGGTTCTGGCCAAAGGAGATGACCTGGTGACAACTTAAATATAGATGGAAATCTGGGCAACAGTGACCACGAAACCATCAGGTTCACTGTCCGATGTAAGGCAGACAAATTGGATAGCGGGATTGAAGTCTTGGACTTCAAAAATGCAAATTTCAACAAGTTTAAATAACTAGTAAGGCAAGTGGGACCAAGGACCAAAAGTAAAATGTGTACACGAAGAGTGGATGTTCCTTAAGGACACAAGCCTTGAAGCACAAAGGAAATCGATTCCCATGCGAAGTAAAGGTAACGGACTGGGAAGCCCTTTTGGCTAAACAGGGAAATCAAGGTCCTCTTAAGAAAGAAGCTTATTAACAATGGAAGCTTGGGGCAGGCCCCAAGGAGGACTATTTCATAACAGCCTGCATTTGCAGAGAATGGATAAGACAGGCTAAAGTGGTGACCAAATTTAGATTAGCAATGGGAATCAAGGACAACAAGAAGTCCTTCTTTAGGTACATAGGGAAGAGGAGGAAAACAAATAGGTGTGTGGGGCCATTGCTCAACAAGTCAGGAGATCTGGTTACCAGCACCCAGGAGAAAGCTGAACTCATGAAGGACTACTTCACCTGAGTCTTTCACCGGACCACAGGGAAACCATGCCAGGTAGACTAGAGGATGAGCACGATAGGAATAATCGCCTTCTTACTATTTCCATAGAATTGGTGTATACAAATCAGCAGGACCAGATGATCTTCATCTGAGAGTGCTGAAGGAGCTGGCTGAAGTCATCCACATCTTGTGGCGCTCTGGGGAAGTCCCTGAAGACTGGAAGAGGGCCAATGGTGTGCCCAATCACAAGAAGGGAAGGAGAGAGGAACTGGGTAACTATAAGCCAATCAGCCTAACTTCCATCCTAAGGAAAATCCTAGAAAAGTTCATCAAGGAGTCTATCTGCAGTAAGCTTGCCGAAGGTAAGATCCTGAATGACAACCAGCATGGCTTCGCTGTGGGCTGGTCTTGCCTTACCAGCCTCATCTCCTCCTATGACCAGGTAACTTGCCACCTGGACACAAAAGAGCAGGTTAACATTGTATACTTAGACTTCCAAAAGACCTTTGATCTAATATCCCATGATGTCCTCATGAGAAAATTGGAGGATTGTGGGCTTAACTCCAAGACAGTCAAGTGAGTGAGAAACTGGCTGCAGGATATGACCCAGAGAGTCATAGTGAATAGATCTGTGTCATCCTGGTGAGAAGTGGGCAGCAGTGTCCCGCAGGGGTCAGTGCTCAGTCCAGTACTTGTCAACTTCTTTATTAACGATATGGATGTGGGGGTGAAGAACTCACTGGCCAAGATCATGGATGACACCAAGTTATGGGGATGCGTGGTCATGCTTGAAGATAAGCTGCAATTACAGACAGACCTAGACAGGCTAGCAAGTTGGATGGATCAGAACCTGATGAAGTTCAATGTTGAGAAATGTAAAGTGCTCCACCTCCAGATGAGCAACCCTCAACACACCTACAGGTTTGGCAGCACCAAACTGACCAGCATCACGAATGAAAGGGATCTTGGGGTAATAATAGACCACAGTAGTATGAGCCAGCAGTGTGATGCTGTAGCCAGTAGGGCAAATAATACTCTGGCACGCATCAATCGATGCATCTCCAGCAAAGCCAAGGAAGTGATTCTTCCATTCTACTCAGCACTGGTGAGACTGCAGCTGGAGTACTGCATCTAGTTCTGGGCACCACACTTTACCAAAGACTCTTCAGCCTGAGGAAAAGAAGGCTAAGAGGGGACCTGGTAGCAGCTTACCGCTACACTAGGGGAGTACATCAAGGGCTCAGTGAGCAACTGTTCACCAGGGCACCTGATGGGAAAACCAGGAATAATGGCCACAAACTGCTGGAAGATCGATTCAAGCTCAACTTTAGGAAAAACTTCTTCAGTCAAGGTGTCCAGACTGTGGAATAAGCTCCCTCCAGAGATGGTGCAACCACCTACCCTGGAAATCTTCAAGAGGAGATTAGACAGTCACCTTGCTCAGGTCACCTGACTCCTAGTTATCTTTCCTCTTTGGTGCAGGGGGCTAGACACAATAATCTTCCAAGGTCCCTTCTGGCCTTACAATCTATGAATACCAGTCAGTCCTGGTGAAGTGTGAAGCACTGCTGGATAGCAACTGTGGAACTGCCAAACTAATGCAAAGTGGAGGTGCATCTAAATCAACATTATTCAGCACTAACTTAATGTGCTGTGAATTTAACGCACTTTCATATAGGAGTACAGAATATGCACTACATGACTAGCTAACTTATTCTAAAAACTGCATTATGTGCATTTCAATACAAGTTCAGTTTCCTCTTGTAGACAACCCTAAGACTCTTGAGTCGCTTATGAAAATGGAACTTATCCTAAGCTTCTTAGACCTTTTTGAAAACTCACTCACAAACAAGCATACACAATGTAAATGTCTAAGTGTAAACTTATTTAATTAAGACAAATTTCTAAAAAATTAATTGGAAACACAGACCTCAATGTGTTCGTGATTTGGCGGCACTGGTAGAAACTGAGGAAGTCTCTTGCTCAGCCACATGGTAATGTCTCTATTTGTATTAACCGCAAAGGGTTCATAACCTTCTTGTAAGCCACAGATAGTGAAATATTTCAAGGTACTGACATCTTTGCCAAAGTTGATTCTTCCCACTTGAGACAAACCCAAGCTGCACACAGGTATAAATCCTGCAAAAAGACAGAGGAAGACATATAAGCAATTTGTGTATCACACATAAGAGTAGTACTTTCTTAGTAAAATTCATTTAAAGTTTAAAAATGTCCAAAACCTA